CCTTACATTCACAGTGTTGTAAAACAATGAATGTATAGGTCTAATTATTAGGTAGCAACTGCATGCCGAAGGAAGGCAAAATCCATTTTAGCTAAGGACGAAAATTAAAATTTAGTTGCAACACAATATTTTAAGATTATAACACTTATTTTTTTAAATTCTTAGCTCTCGATTAACGTCTGAAAATGATTATTTGTTAAATATACTTACAATTTGATGAATAAACATTTTTCACCTTTAATTGCCAGATTAATATACCTAACTATTTATTTAGAAATATATGCTTAAATCATTATAATTTAACATCCAAAACATTTTTTGTGATTTCTAATATTTCACATTTTTAAACCTGCATTAATAATTTCAAATTGTTTTGCATATTTACTCATTATGCATTCAAAACCAATTGCTGCTGCGCAGAAAATAGTATATACTTGTACAATTTCATAATGTATTAAAAAATATTACGCTCAGAATGGATTTACAAAACTCCAGACTGGATGACGCCCAATTCTCTCAAAATTGACAAGATTATTGTATGTGGAGGATAAAAGATCACTTTTTTTAATGTTACAAAATTAGACTGAAATATGAAGACTACCCAAAAGTAACAGCCTAAGTTTCACTCCTCAAACTGTATAAAAGTAGTAAATTTGGCATTGCTGAGCGCAGTAAAGGTAATTGAAATGTTAATACTATTTTTGCTTATATAAAATACGTCTAAATCAATACACTTGTTAATAATATGCACTTTCTTGTAATACAATATTTGTACTCGAGTTATTTTTAAAGTTTTAAACTCACACTATTACTTTTGGGAAGTATGCATGACTTTGATACACTGACTTACATATTCAATACATGAACAGAAAATAAGTATATTTTCTTCCATATTTAACATATTTACAGTCTGTTGTTACAAAATATATATTGGCACTACATAAGCAAGACACTGTACCAGCCACATGTTTAAATCTACAAGCTTATGCAAACAACCATATTCTAAAATCTACTAAAATAGCAGTTACAGAGTAGACAGTTATAAACAAGAATCATTATACATTTCAGACAATGGAATAGCTGTCCTAAAATTACTTCCATAGCTTTCCAAACTGAACGCATTTCTTAAATTCCCAAAATTCATTTGCAATGATGGCCTAAGAAGTTAATGAGTTAAATTGCTCTTCAAATTTATATCTTTGTGGCAGACCTTTAGTAGAAAAGTGCTGTTCAAAAGACTGAATTACATACCTTCCTGTTAGAAAGCGTTACTAAAGAAAATGCTGCAAAACTTGTTATTCATCAAGAGATATACACAAAAATTTCATAAACATACCACATTTCAGAAAAATGGGAAAAGCAACACAGGCATAAAGAAGAAGATGGTAAATAGTTTTACATCCCCCAACCTCAAAGTTTAGCCATATTAAAGAGACATGCATCTTTTTTATAGCATAGCAGACACTAACTGAAATTAGAAAGGTGTTGGATATGTTCAACTGTTTGTGAAGGACATTATGTTAAATATATGTTTGTAAAATTTTAATTGTTAACATGTTAAAAGAGCTTTGAAGTAAACTATTAGCTCTTTTACAGGAATCAAATTATAATGACTGAGGATTTTGAATGCAGCATAGATATCAACAACATGAACATTAAGCATTAGTACTGTAGGACATATAATCATTTTTAGCACCATTCTCTGCTCCAATTTACAAGAAAACAACCTTGAAAAAGCAAGCGTTATATACATACGTTATATGCAGACACATACTTCTAGCAGATAAGTTTCTTTGAACTTAAGGCTAGAAATAAATTTTATTGCTTTCAAAATTGTGAGAAATACAAATTAAAATGGGGTTATCTTAGCTGTAAAAGTTAAATGACTCAATAAATCTTCATAAAATCCTCTGTCAGGAGAAGAACAAAAATTCTAACTGCAACATTCATAAAGACATGCTTTGCAAAAATATTGATTGTAAAATTGAGCTTCATTTATAAAATTCTTAAAGAACTGCAGCAATGTTTAGTGCATATTTCTATATTCTAGAGAGTGTATTATGTAAACTTCAAAAATGGCATTGCAGTAGCGTTTAAGTCAGAGCGGGTCTGTAAAGTTTAAATCAAATTTTTAGCTGTGATTGCTCTGCAGCGAATAAATTTCAGTCATAAAGAAGTGCTTAAAATGCTGAAATTCTTGTATGGTTTCTGAATTCCTTTCGTCACTACATAACTTGACATATAGACAAAAATGCCTAACTTTCGTATTCTTAAGAATTTTTTAATCAAATACATGGCTAGAAAAGGGTAAAAAAATACTACTTCCCATTTTTATGCAAGTAACTTCCAGTGGTACCAAGTTGGTACAACTTGATTCGTTTCATTATTTGCCAGACCAACCAAATTTGGAATTGTGAATCTACCATCAGCGGTTTAAAAGATAAAGTCACTGTTAGTGTTTTGAAAATCCGAAAAGTCCTTACATATATGAAAATTTATTTCAAAAAGCTATGCACAGCAAATACATTTAAACTGCATTTGGTACTTCCTGTATGGATATTATTTTCATGAAACTCGCAAACTCCTATGCATCTGCTTTATATGAGCCTGAACGCATTTAAAATATATTCAGTTTAAATTCACGTGAATTCAAAATAGGTTTCAAACCAAATTTAATGCAGGTCAAATATCCAGCCTACCTATCTATCTATCTCTATTTAATGCTTTTTACGTGTAAATATAAAGGTGAAGTTATTATTACTTATGAAACGAAATTCTTTTCCATGTGTTGTTATTTAAGTTTTTTATGTGCATCGGATTTTAAAATATGTGTAAGTTTACTGGTATTTTATTAAACGATTAAGTACAATGAAGGTAATGCTAGGAAAAAAATCGTTTTGAAAGTTGAATGTAATATAAATCAGACAACTAATGTAAAGTAGCTTTAATAAACGTTATTGAAAGAATTTAAGACGATGAAGTGTTTTCTAGTAAGCTTGATGCATGTGTCTTGCCTTAAAAGCAAAAACAAAGACTTTTCACCTTTTGTTCTTCAGACCTTTATAATAATGAAAACTACAAAACAGTCATTAAGGTTCCATAATCATGCAAGCAGTGCAGAAACTTCTGTTGTTTAAACTCGACATCATCAACAATTCCTTTTTGAATTAAATCGTCAAAGAGACTTAGGAACTAACTGCTTAACGACAAAAATCGTGTATCTGTGGATTGATGAAACTAATCCCTGAACATTCACGGTCTCTGAGATTCTACATATTCTGCAGAGCCGTCAGGACACAGATTTTATTATGAGGTCATAGTTTACAATGGCCATTTGGCGGAAGACTCCTTTGAGATGCTAAGATCCTTACATAAGCACACTCACACATATAAGTTCCTTACGCTTTAATCACATAGCATTAAGATATATCTATATTCTGAATATTTTACTCTCAGAGTCATACATACCAGAAATAATACTTGTTCGTTATGAGAACTATTATGCAGATAAGTATTTCATCACACAACAACAAATGATTAACTATTATATGACAGCTTCAGAATTTAGACACTTGAGAAAAGGCCAAGGCAGACGTCAGTTCTCTACATTTTTTTCAGTCAAATATACACATCTTTTTAACGCGTAACTAGATTCATCTTAGGTTTTACTTTCATTTTCCTCAATTTGTAATATATTTAGGTTTTACTAGCTCTAGCATTTAAATTTTAACATGTGTACTATTGCGTATAATGATTAAATGAAGTAAATTGAGTTTTGTAACACATATTCGGTATTCATAACCCAAGCTCACATATGCGATCCAAATAGTCTTTGAAGTGACTGAAAATTTCTGGAATGAGCAGTTGTGTTACATTATATATCACCTTTAGAAATATCTTCCTGAAGCTGTCATATATTTCTTTATAAAGATAATTATACTCTTTAATATCAACAATAATGTGACACCATAATCAGTGGTTATTGTATTCTTGATACACTGGAGTATATGTACAATGTATACATTAAACAACAAACGCTTGAAGAAGGAACTTAAAGCAGTCACTACATGCCAGGCATTGTGTCTATTCAGGAATCTTTCCTTGAGAGAAAAACAAAATCGGCATATAAGAAAACTTTGATGTAGGACGTAAACGGAGTTTCATACATAAAATAAATAGAAGTATTACATAAGTGACAAATTTATGGCTCTAAGGCATTAAATGATTATTTTCAGAGTTCAAGGTCGACACTCAATTTACTTTTAATCAGCCAGATATGAGTTTATGTAGTACCATTTATTAAGGAAACTAATTTCTCCCTAAAAACTTAATACATTTTCCCAAATTTGTTTAAGGTGAAAGATTTATTGTCTTTATTCATAAATACATTAAAATTTAAAAAAAATATTTAAGAGGGAAAAGATGTGAGTTTTGGGCTGCTTGAAAAATAACAAGCTGTACTCGTATAAATGGAAATTTCGATAACAGCTTAGATTCAGAAGTAAATGTTATGAATTAAAATTATTGCTAGCAATTTAGGAACTGATAATTTAGAAAATTGTTTGTCTAAGCCTGAGTATTCAGTTAACAAATTTTACGTTTTTTGACTTTATGAAATATATGCAACTACGTCCGAAATTTATTTTTATACATGCATCAATAACTAAAGAATTTCGGATTTTTGTAATATGCTGAAATAAAACTTTTAAATGAAGAAAAGGTTTTGAGTTCATTAGAAAATGTAAACAACGCCTGTAAGATAAAATGTCTTGACATTTGCAACAAACGTGAATTAAATAGGAAATTGGTTTCAGTTTATCCGTCGTATGATTCAAATCTTAAGAGAAAATTCATTTTACAGTAACATTTTTATGAAATGTAATAGCTATCCATTATTGAAACATAAATATTTTGTATAAGCTCACTTTTTGATAAAAGATATAAAATGTTTCTTTAGCCTTGGCATTTTATTTTATAGCGGAATATAAGAGCAATAAAAATTACATTCAGTTGTTTATGAGCTTTAATTAGAAAAATTAATTGAATAACGTATTGTAAACGGTTACATTAACTTAAAATAAATTTAGTATTATTATTATTTTAAACATGAAGTCCAACAAAAATGCTATGGGTATAATTTAGGAAAAATTAATTCCTTTGTCTTATTCCTTTATTGACATGCAAGTTGTGCTCTGTATAAATATGGTCATTTTTTAAAAAATTGCGATTAAAGTAAATATGAATTCAAGGATCTTGTTCCAAAAAGCTGTGATATTACACAACTGAGATATGTCAAAAGAGTACATGAAGTTTGAGCAGTTAATTCTTTGCTTGGTTCATTTTACGAATTCAACTAGTTTAGAAAATGTCCGTACGCAATATAAAGAAACGTTTAAAAAACAACATGTTACATCTGTAAAATGGCAGCTCAAATAGGAAGGTGTAAGATCCGTTATATGAAAGCATATCATGTATTTTCTTGATCATAAAGCAAAATTTATGAGAAAAGCTTTTACATTTTAATTCATAAATTTATTGTCAAGCATCGTAATTTATAAACTTGCTTAATTTTCCATATAATGTATGCAGGTAAGCAACAGCAGAATTCCTTAAAGTGAAGTTGTAATAATTAACAAATGACGTCCTCAGAAAACATCTTACGAGAAAGAATATATATTCTTACTCATAGCACCAATAAGGATATTCCACATTCAGTGGACCTACAATGATTTTGGGATCAAGAAAAGACTCCTGAACAAACTAATCTCTCACAGGGCGTTCTGTGAAGAGGTCACGAAGAGGGTGGAGTCCATCATTCCTTCTTTGTCACCATGGATACCTGAAACAAAACAGAATTATGAGTTATATAAATGTGAAAGGAAGAGCAAAAGCTTATCATGCCTAGCTTCTTTTCTTCTCCAGATGGTGGTCTGGATGAAATGACGAAGAAGAAGCGGCATCTTTTTATGCTGAGAATTACGGTAGAGAGAAGCCGGGCTAGTTTAGCCACACGCAGTGGACTGATCTATCTTGATTGAAACTGTATGGGACTTTCTATCTCACTCTCTAAAATATCACCAACTAAACTAATTGTCCAGATAATTTATAGCTATTTGAAAAAATAATAATAATTATTTTTAATAAATTCTGCATTTTGAATCTTTGTTCTTTTCAAATAATAAGCAAATGAACCGGAACAGACTCAAAAGTAATGGTTACGCTAAGTGTTATCAAGTAAATTATGCTGACTAAATTCAGTTTCGTATCGGCTAGACCAGTGCTCCGCAACCTTTTCTCACCTGCGACGCAGAAAAAATCTTTCTGGAATTTCGTGGCACACCAAAGAGTTATCAAGGAGTTATCAAGGAAGTTCCGAGTTATCATGGAAGTGCCGTAAAAAATTCAAATGCTGACACACTGACAATCACACACACAACCACACAACAGTGAAATATATAAAAACATTTAAAATAGACATTATTAAGGAAAAAATTGTCATTGTGTATTAAATACATGATAAAATATTGCAAAATGTCAAATACATGTATTTGATTGCGGCACACCTATATCCTACTCATGGCACACCAGTGTGCCGCGGCACACCGGTTGCGGAGCACTGAGCTAGACAATATTCAGAAATATTGGGCATTCCAGTGATAAATATATGTCAGATATAAGTGTGAAAAGCTGGCGAGCAATTTTTCTCATCAAAATTGTTTGACATGCAACTAGTTTTCGTTTTCACTCCTCAGAATTTAAACTAATTCTAGCCATCAAAATTGTAATATATTTTAAGCTCCAGCACGTAAATTTTGAATTTGTAGGTATTTATCGAAAGCTAAATCTATATATGAAAGGGATAACAAAAGAAAACTTGCAGTAGGTATCGTTTTGGGTTGAAGATCGAGCCATGGATAAGAAAACATTAAACGTATTTACTTTTTATTATCAGAAAAGTAATTTATTGTTTAAACTGTTTCTTGTCTTTCATAAATGCCCACAAATTCTGGGAAACCAACAACTGATTCACTATCCAAGATGGACATTTACAAAATAGGAATATGTCTTATTTTCACAAATGCTTTTACTAGCATATAGCAAATAATAGACTTAGGGTGAACGCTGAAGGATAGATTTGGCTTAAGCTGCATATGAGCTTGATCATCCTTCCTTTCAGGTTTCTAGTTGGAGAGCCAATGTACGAAATTCCAGATCTCTAAAAAGGTCTTGGGAAAGCAAAATTAGAAAAATATTGCAATTGCAAATAGTTTCAATATATTAATGTTTTTATACTTGAATTCATCATACTAATAAGGATAAAGTTAACATCTCACCAACTGATGTTAAAAACTAAAATTACAAATTACAAATTGATAAGAACTCCCGGTAAAAGATTCCTTTAATTTATTTTAGAAAAAAAGATTAAATTGCCTCTTTTTTGTTTCGTTAAGCTGTCTTACTAAGCAAGGATAGAAAAACTACTAAAAGCTTCGAACGATCTCTAAGGTTTTAGGCAGGCAGATCACGCCTAACGTTAATGACAAGACGCTAAATCAACTGATGTGAGGAAGATTATCTCGCCGTTTCTTTCATTAATGGCCTCTAAGCTTTCATGTAAGAACAGAATCGTTAGTTTGTTTGTAGGAATTCTAAGGATCTATTTGCAACATCATATTACCTTTATTTCTGGGTAGCCATTACGAAGTGGCAGCCTTAACGCTCGTAATGCTTATGGCGATAAGCTGGTCTAGCTGATACAAAGGACTTTTACTTTATTTTTCTTACCTAAAGTCGTAGATATTTTGTACCCTACAAACAAACACTCTTGTATATGGACTCCAAGGATGAATATGTAACATCCTACACTTGAATAGGTCTTTCGGTGTAATGAATAATTTGGACCAGATATGCTAAATTTCTGCCAAATATCATTTCTTTCAACTTTTGCATACTTCCAGCTAATAAAATAGCCGAAGCTTACCAATCACTGACTGTACTTAATAATAAAGCAGCGAATCGTCTGGTGACCCTAAATCAATCCCTTCTAAATGCGACCTATTTTTTCTTAGAAAGTAAATAAAGATGGTTATTGATAATTATGATAATTTTCTCTACGAGGACCATTTTCTTACCCTACTGAGATCATCAGATGTACATTAAGGTGATCATAACGTTTGATATTGCTATAAAACTAGAATATCAAACCAGCTGTTCTTAAACTTTTCTTATTCATTACCCCTTTTTGTCATCGAGGGTTTCTCGAGATGTCAGATATTAAATGTAAATAGGGATTAAAAAAATAAAATTTCCCCAAAAATAAAAATTATTTCTTCAGTAAATAATATATACTCATGAAATGAAGCAATTTTGGAATTTTTTTCAAGTGTACGAAAATGAATGAAAGCAAATCACGTTTTAATAACGCGGGTGTGCTTGCTGTTTGCTGAAGAGCAAATTAAATCTTGCTGCAGTATTTGATACTGCTTGACGTAAAGCTTCTTCATCGCTTTTCAGCTTTGAACGATATTTGGATTTAATAAACAGTAAAGCTGAAAAGTTGTTTCATAGAAATATGTGGTGCTGAATGGCAGAATACTTTATGCCATTTCAGGGATGGCGGGATATTCAGCTCTAGCTCGGCTCCAGAATTCAGTGAAGGAATTTTTTACAAACTCAAGTTTTAAATTTCAGTAACTGAAATTTGTAGATGCCATTTTATCGAATTTTTTGAAGTACTTGGATGTGTGGATGCTTATTTGAGGTAGTTTAGAGTGGTTAGTGAAGTAATATCGACACGTAGCACAGCAGTTTAAACTTTCTATGGAATCTAATGTAATAAACTGAGATCTCCATTTATTAAAATAAATATTGCAGAAGTGCATATCATTTATTGGTAACTTAATTTTGCTACTCAGAACTCTTTCTAAAGCTTGTTGTAATCTTCATTCTAAAGCATATGCGTACAAGAAGACAAGTTAAGCAACTGCTTAATGAATTTAATAACAGAAAATAATGTTGTTCTTGCATTTAATTTATGCTTTTATTGTTGATAATATTCTATATTCCATAGTTATATTATATAATTATGTTTTGAATAAATTAAGTTTCCATAAATAGTATGTGCTTGCAAAAATAATATGCTTTTATAAAATTAATACGCGCTTACAAAAAATATTCGTAACACTACAGAAATTGTAGTTGCATAAGAAGACAGAATTCTTGAAATACGTAATATGGCAATAATACGATCATATGATGCAGTTCTTCAAAAGAATGAAAACCTCTATCCATTATTATACAGCGATATTTTATTTTATTCTGCGTTTTCGGTATTAGGTTGGAAACATAGTTTTATTTCAATATTCACAGATACAAAATACTAACCACCTGTAGCATCATTTTCTTGAAAACCAAAATTTTAAAACAACGTTTTAGGATTAACTAGTTGATTAAGGCAAAGCCCTCTAGGCTATCTTCCGAAGCGGAGGAATGTCTTAATGGAGAACTTTCTAAGGGAAAGTAGCTCGTATTTAAGTTACACATAGATTGGGTTTTAGGGGTTTCGTGGTTTTAGTGGTTTAAATGGCGCATAACCTGGAAAGTTTAAGTTACACATAGAAAAAGCCACGGAAATACCAATGCAGCCAGCGCGCTTAGCTCGAATGGAACTCAAATTGAAGTGTCAGCTATCAGTGATTTTACTATCGAGTTTAGTGTTTAATTGTTAAACCTGAACAGTTAGAGATTTGCGTACTGGAAATGCAATAACATTTAGAAGAGTCCAGTAAAAATGAGGTACATGCCACAAAGCGATAATTTTGCGGAAAAAGCGAATGCATGATTATCTTTTTGTTTTGTAACAGGATGCCTACTAGGAATAATCCGTGCTTTATAAGGTATTTCTCCCGCCTTCTTAGCGAGCCTTCGTGGTGTAGTGGTCTGCACGCTCAGCGCGTAATTGAAAGGTCCGCGGTTTGATTCCCGGTTGAAGGCGTTGCTATTTTTTCACCTTGCCTGCTTCCAAAAAATACCTAATATCTCTACAGTGGCGCCCGAACTAAGAGGATGTTGGATGATGATTCTCCTCACCCAGGATTTGGCGATTAGGTCCTCTAAAAACCCCAGTCACCCTTTAAAAGAGGAAGTATATAAGTTATTTCTCCAGCCTTCTTAACGAACCTTCGTGGGGCAGTGGTCTGCAAGCTCAGAGCATAATTGAGAGGTCCGCGGTTCGATTCCTGACGAAGGCGTTGCTAATTTTTCATCTTGCCTGCTTCCAAAAATACCTAATGTCTCTACAGCTTATGCATAAATGGGTTAGATATTACATGTGTGATACACAGTCCAAGAGGAAAATGATGGAAGAGTAAGGAGTTTGTAGGTATTCTAAGTGAAAATAATATAAGTGAAGCTAGATTTATATGCGTTTTAGACATCTAACACATATGTATTTGCAAATAAAAATTCGAAGGAGTCCGATATTTAACATAATTGCATATTACACGTGCTTGATTGGCATATTTTTAGTATGTAAAACACAGTGGTACCTTTCAATGATAATGTAAACAATAGTTGTGTAAGAGATCAGGAGATTTTTTATCTTGCTGTTTGTGATGTGTATCTCGGAAATGTTTTAATAAGGTTACAAAATTTATCATTTAACGACGTACAAATAATACCATTAATCAAAAATCAAACTTATTTTACATGTATATAGTAAATGGGTATATAGTAATATATCAGCAAACTATATTATTATGGGAAAATATAAATAAGTAAATAAAAATTGATAGATATGCGATATGCTTTTCTCTTCTTCCGTGGCTACATACTTATGTT